GCTGGCCCCGTACAGCGCGAGGGGCCGCGGCTACTCACTTGTTGACGGCGAAGTCCAGGATCTCGGCCGAGTGGCCCCGGAACTCGCTGATCATCTGCCCGGAGCGCGCGTCCCACAGGCGCACGGCGCCGTCCAGGCTGCAGGTGTAGACCAGGGCTGAGCTGCTCTCCCACAGCAACTGCACGATGCCCGACTGCAGGCAGGGAAACCGGTGAGAGCAGGCCCCTTGCGACTCCCCCCGGCAGCGACATGCGGGCGGCTCAGCCAGTCTGGCAGCAGAGGAGGGACCTCCAGCGCCCTGTGCCAGGCACTGCCCGAGGGACACGCAAGAGCAGCTGTCTGGGGACACCGCAGGACAGGACACTGGGCAAAGCCCAGACCCGGCTCGAGAGCCCATCCAAGGAGGCCGAATGATGCCCCACGGAGATGGCAGCAGCGCTGGGTCAGCCACAATGTTCCTGCTAACCTTTTCCACCCATGTGCGGAATAAATTTTGTTCCGTGCACCAAGGCAGGTGCAGATGTGCACCACCAGTACACACACACACACACTGGAGTCTGTGGGTGCTCAGCCCATCAGCTGGGCGGCCCTTGACTTTCTCCTGGGTGGCTGCCCAAGTGCACAGCTTCCAGGGAATGCTGGCCAGTGACAACGCTGTGGGAACGAGGATCAGTCAGGAGCCAAGCTATGAACTGCCAGCCTGGCCCTGTGGGCTGCCCCTGCCCTGCTGCCTGGGAGGAGTCCCCGCCCCCGCCCCCTGCGATGTCAGGAAGCCCAAAGGCTCCAGGGGTTCAGTGAGTCACCCTCAAAGCGCCACCTGGTGGCCCGGCCGTTACCTCGTGCTGGCACCTCTGCCGCAGACTCTGCGTGGAGATGTCGTAGATGGCCAAGGTGCCGGGCATCCTGCCCCGGGAAAGGGGGAGCATGAGGCAGGGCCCAGGGGGACCCCAACTCCCCAGGGCAGCACCTCTTAGCCAGGCAAAAGGGGGGAGGGGCTGGATTACCTGCCGGACCCCCTCATAGAAGCAAATGGGGGTGGATTTCGAAGGATCTGTCCCCCCAGCTTTGCTGGCAGGTTGGGTGGGGGAGCAGGGCCTAGTGGGTCTGTCCCAGGGCTAAGAGGTGGGGGTGTCACGTTAGGAGAACAGCCTCCCATCCCCCTCCCCTCCCCTCCCCTCCCC